TATCATCAACATATAAAAAGCAGATAAATGAAGGTTCCATCTTGTAGTTTGCGAAAGTATACACAATGGTCATAGTGACTTCTTGTGTACTCCTGCCCGATCATAAATCGATCAAATCGCTTGTACCATTGTCTTGGAGACTGCTTCAAGCCATACAATGATTTTTCCAATTTGCAAACCCAATTTTCCTTTCCAGCAACCTTAAAACCTTCTGGTTGAGACATATAAAATCTCTTCCTCCAAATCACCATGTAAGAACGCAGTCTTGACATCAAGTTGGGCCCCAACTCAAGGTCAAACTGCACAACCAAAGCCAACAAAATACGAATAGAAGAATGTTTTACTACAGGAGAAAATACCTCATTGTAGTCAATGCCTTCCTTCTGAGCGTAGCCTTTAGCTACCAATCTGGCTTTGAATCTTACATTGTCTTTTCCCAAAGATTCCATCTTTTTGGCATACACCCATTTACAACCAATTGCTTTCTTCCCCTTTGGTAACTGAACCAGCTTCCAAGTCTTATTTTTATGAAGAGATTTCATCTCCTCATCCATAGATTTCTTCCACAACTCGCACTCTGAACTCACGACAGCTTCTTTGTAGGCGGATGGAATATCATCTTCAATAACGGGAAGTGCATATGCCACAATATCAGTAAATCGAGCAGGCTTTCGGATTTCCCTTCTCGATCTTCTGGTTGCAATATAGTCTTGTTGCTGTGGAGGCTCTTGGGTAGGTGCCTCCTCTTCATCATCCTCGTCCTCATCATCAGAATTAACTGTAGGAGTAGTGTTTGAAACATCAGACCTTACTGGAACAACTGGAGTCTTCAGTAACTCCACCTGCTTTGAGCTCCTCATGGTTTTGGTCGCTTCAGTTTCGCCTTCATGCTTGTTCTTATTAACCATAGCAGCCTCATCAAAAGTCACATCTCTGCTTACAACAAATTTCTTCTCATCTGGACACCAAAGTCGGTATCCCTTCACGCCAGTGCTAAAGCCCATAAATAGAGCTTTCTTTGCTCTTGGATCCAACTTGCCTTCTCTGACATGATAGTAAGCAGGACAACCAAATATGTGTAAAAACTTGTAATCAGTACAAGGTTTACCAGACCATACCTCCATGGGCGTTTTGCCCTCGTTCGCAACAGCTGGCAATCGATTAATGAGATGGCTTGCATAAGTAATTGCCTCAGCCCAAAATGCCTTGCCTAATCCAGCATTAGACAACATACACCGAACTTTCTCAAGTAAAGTACGGTTCATGCGCTCCGCCACCCCATTCTGTTGCGGTGTCTCCCTAACCGTGAAGTGCCTCACAATACCCTCATCTTGACAAACTTTCAAGAAAGGATCAGACTTATATTCACCCCCATTGTCTGATCTGAGAGTCTTGATCTTTCGACCGCTTTGCGTTTCAATCATCTTTTTCCACTTCAGGAATATCTTCAAGACTTCATCTTTACGCTTCATGGTGTACACCCATATTCTTCTAGAGAAGTCATCAACAAAGGAGACAAAATAATGGCTACCTCCCCAAGATGCATTCTTGGAAGGTCCCCAAACATCAGTGTGAACATAATCAAGAATGCCTTTAGTGTGGTGAATAGCAGTGCCAAATTTTACTCTAGTTTGCTTACCCAACACACAATGCTCACAGAATTCCAATTTGCATGCCTTTGCACCTTTCAATAAGCCTTGCTTCACCAATCCTTGCAACGCTTTTTCACCAGCATGCCCAAGACGCATATGCCATAACCTCGTGGTGTGTCTGTGCTATCTGCGTCAGCAGCTTCGGTGACAGCTGCTCCACCAATAATTGTACTCCCCTGCAAGAAATACAAGTTATTTCGTCTTATACCTTTCATCACCACCAGTGCCCCGTACACAGCTTTAAGAACTCCACCCTCCATGGTGATCTTGAGACCCTTGGATTCCAATGCACCCAGTGAGATGAGATTTTTCTTCATATCCGGTACATACCGAACATCACTTAATTCTCTGACTGTTCCATCATGCATCTTCAAACAGATTTTGCCTATCCCTTGTGTTTTGCAGGCATTATTATTACCCATCAAAACAACTCCACCATCCAGCTCCTCGAAATTAGAAAACCATTCCCGAATGGGACACATATGATAGGTGCAACCTGAATCCAAAATCCACTCATTTGAGTGACCATCAGCATATGAACTAGCCAAAGCAAACTCAAAATCATCATCTCCAGATTTTGCAATATTTGCTTCATAACCTGCTTTCTCATTCTCTTTGTTCTTCAATTTGGGGCAGTCTTTCTTCCAATGACCCTTTTGGCGACAAAAAGCACATTCATCTTTAGCAGGAAACTTCCCTCGTGACTTTGAATGAGATTTTCCCCGCTTCCCAGATTTTCTTTCCTCTGTTCGACCCCTTGCAACAAATGCCTCGGTTTGTGAATTGTGAGTCTTCAGTTCCTTCTTACGACACTCATGATTCACCAATGCCGCAGACACCTCATCAAGTTTCACCTCGGATTTTCCATACAACAGAGTAGTTGTCAAATGATCATAATCATCAGGCAATGAATTTAACAAACATAGTGCCTTGTCCTCGTCAGGAATTTTCACATCAAGGTTTGCTAAATCAGCAAGTATTTTATTATAATCATTGAGGTGTTCGTGCATAGAGATACCTGGACGATACTGAAATCGGAAGAGTCGCTTCTTCAAGAAGAGGCGATTTTCTGCGCTCTTGGTCATATACTTCTCCTCCAATTTCGTCCATAACTCCTTAGCAGAAGTTTCCTTCATATACGGGTATTTCAACTCCTTATCAAGGAACGATCGAATAGCAGCACAAGCATGAAGATTAATTCGCGTCCACTGCTTGTCATCAATATCTTCTGGTTTATCTTCCAGAACCATATCCAACTCTTGTTGATACAACACATCCATAACTTCACATTGCCACATACCAAAATTATTAGAGCCATTGAATTTATCAACCTCTAACCTTGTAGTAGTGGTTGGATGTCTATTGGACGAAGACGATGCTGACCCCTTCTTTACAGATTCATCTTTATCTCCAGCCATCTACTCGGCACTATTCACAAATACGGCACTGTTCACAGGTACAATACTGTTCACAGATACTGTAGCAGTTCACTGTTCACGGAACTGTAGCGCCAACACTATTCACGGAACTGGGCTCTAATACCACTTATTGTGCGGAAACGGCATTCAACTGTAAGTGAATAGTTAAACAGAACAGAATAAAACCACTATCAACAAGAACACCAAGATTTATACTGGTTCGGCAATGCCTACATCCAGTTTGGAGACGACGGAGTATTCCACTATAATCAATGAGAACATACAATAGTGTTTATCACTCAATTTCCCAAAGACCCGAATAACCCAAGCTCTCACACTTACAATAGGAAGAGAAAACCAAAAATACAAAGCAAGACAATTTGAGAAAATTCTTCTCTATGCCGAATAGCTTCTTGCTATTTTTCTCTCTTCCTTGTTCTCCTCTACAATGCTTATGGGCTGCACCTTGCTCCCCTTTTATAGCCAAAGAAAAGCTTCTCAAAGACATCAATGGCCAAAGGCCTACCATCAAGTCAAAAGAGTTAGGCACAATTGCATGTAATTTTTGTTTCCCACATGTAGCATGCCAACCAACAATTTTGACCACAAAAGTAGCCGAAATCAATTGTTGGTTTTAGACTACTTTGTTTGAGTCAATAATCAACACTACTTTCACTGTGCGGGATATTTGTCCTTTTATGTATTGATACTGTTTAAAACTTCATTAACACGTATGTACGTTTTGTATGAATAATTATCAATTTCATATCTGCTGTCATAGCTGGATTAAATACAAACGTTAGTAATATTAGTTTTTATCTGGCTCAGTTGCCTGCAAATTGCCTGACTGGAAATGGATGGACCATACCTTAGGCCAAAAGTAAGGCTAAAATTGTTAGCAAGTCACGGTCAAGGTCCCTCCTGAAAGTTGACAGAAGGTGCTAAATTGGTCACCTTTTTGTACAAGAATCTGAAACCGCAACTTATGATAGGAGCTTCCTTCAAACTCTTTGGTGATGATATGTAGGGAGTTTTATATGCATATATTCAGCATTTTGCTAGGACCATGAAAATGTTACCGAACATCCACCTTTATTTACTGAAGTGAACTTAGATAAGCACGGTCAGCAATTCCAGAAAAACCCCAAACCCGACTGGCCGACTCACATGAAACTGAAACATTAAGGTGGCGCGATTCGAAACTTATCATGCAATGCCATGTGGTAAAAGGTAACACATGAGGCAACGCGTGATTCCTTAGTGTTTATGTTTCATGTCAGTCTCCCGCTTTTATAAGGCTTCCATGCACCTAAGCCACCACGTTGTTTGTTTCACAAGTCAATTGTGGGTAATGGTTTCAAAACCCACAGCAAAGCGTGGGCAAATTTTCTTGTTCTCATCAAAACTCTCAAACCCAGGACCGTTCTGTTTTTAAATTAATTGTACATAAGATATAAATCTCACATTAAGAATGTTGATTTCTTTACCAACAAGGCAACAGTAAAGATTAAACATACGAAAGAACATCGTAATTAAATTATTAAATAATACTAAGTAAAAAGGTTGAAATTATAGATCATTATTATATAATATGGTTGAAGGTATGAGAGCTAAGTTTTTGAGATATTTCTTTGGTAAAATAGCACAAACACTTAATAAACACAGACGAAATATACTGTCAACAAGTAGCCAAGTAAGGAAGAAACGACAAGTAGGCTCTAGCAGAGGAGGCTTATGAAGGTTCTATCCCATCTGCTGGAACTTCACACCCTCATAATACAAAACATTTCAAAGAGAAAATGTGACTGCTGAGCACGGTGTATTATTCTTCGAAATCATTTCAATGCGTTCACCTTTGGTGTATGTGAACATGTCTTCGATGAGGACCAAATCTTTCCTCCAGCTGAGGGAATATCTTAACAAGGATTTTCTACATAGTTTTGTAATACCATTTACTCCATCTCTTGCACAACACAAGTGATCCAGTAGCAGTTCCAAAGCCAACAAATCCAACTTCAGCACTAATCAGATCCCAATCAATTCCGTGTGCAGAATTTGAATGTTTTCCTTCTAATGTTGGTGACAACCTTGCTGATCCGTCATCTATGTTACCTAGCGATAATGGTGGCCCATATAATCCTTCATTGCCTGCGAAAGAATCTGCTGAAAAAGATTGAATCTGAGTGCCGGTTGGAATCTTCCCGACTAGTCGATTGTTAGAGAGATTCAGGAATGAGAGGAAATTAAGTTTGGATAACTCTGATGGAATTGTTCCGCTCAATCTGTTGTTCGAAAGGTCTAAGGACTCAAGATGTCGTAGGTTGCCTACGCATGATGGGATTGCGCCTGTGAAAGCATTGTTGGAAAAGTTGAGGCTAAAGAGTGATTTCAGCACTACCAATTCCTCAGGTATTGATCCACTAAACTTGTTGCATGAGATGTCAAGGTAGCAGCTGTAAACAGTTAGAATCTTTACCAATTCCATTTCCAGACCTTTATTGATAATCATTATAGAATCCTGATAATATACCTGATCTAACTTTTGAACTTGAAATCAAAGGTGAGTCATCTTTGACACGGCATCATCTTCTTCATCCATCAGTGCTTTCATGGTTTTCAAACCAAATGATGGTAATTTGCCAGTGAAATTGTTGTCAGCTACGTCAAAAATTGGAAGCTTTGGCCAGGAAGCATTGGGCTTGAAGCTGTTGCAATCAACACCACCATAAAATTTGTTGGAACGCAAGATAAGCTTTGGCCAGTTACAGATACCACCCCTGGATGGAGGAAGAGTACTTCCAGAGAAGATGCCACATCTACCTATGAGACAGATAAGGCAAGTCAAGACGATACCACACTCCGGTACTTAGAAGTTTCGTGGCTACGAGATCATTCTCCCACAATATTTCCTAATGTCATTTGTACTAAATCATTCACTTGTACTCACTAAAGGAAAGCTTGAACCTATGTACTTGTGTAAACCCTTCACAATTAATGAGAACTCCTCTATTCCGTGGACGTAGCCAATCTGGGTGAACCACGTACATCTTGTGTTTGCTTTTGTGTAAACCCTTCACAATTAATGAGAACTCCTCTATTCCGTGGACGTAGCCAATCTGGGTGAACCACGTACATCTTGTGTTTGCTTTCCTATCTCTATCCATTTATATACTTATCCACACTAATGACCGGAGCAATCTAGCGAAGATCACAAAAAGTGACCGTTTTCGCGACCTAGGATCTATCTTGCAAGAGAACGGAGAATTAGATGGAGATCTCAACCATAGAATACAAGCTGGATGGATGAAGTGTAAGAGTGCATCCGGCGTGTTGTGTGACCGTCGTAGGCCACTGAAGCTCAAGGGAAAATTTTATAGGACGGCAATAAGGCCAGCGATGTTGTATGGCACAGAATGTTGGGCAGTGAAGCATCAACGTACACAAAATGGGTGTAGCGGAGATGAGGATGCTTCGTGGGATGTATGGGCACACGAGAAAGGATAAGATTGGGAATGAGGTTATCCGAGGTAAAGTAGGAGTAGCCAAAATTGAAGGAAATATGAGAGAAAATCGGTTCCGGTGGTTTGGACATGTGCAAAAAAGGCCTACTGACGCTCCGGTTCGAAAATGTGACTACGGGACAGAGGTTCAGGGCCGAAGGGGTAGAGGAAGACCTAGGAAAACTTTGGAAGAGACCCTAAGAAAAGACTTGAGTACTTGGATCTAACGGAGGACGTGACACAAAACCAAGCGCAATGGCGTTCTAGGATTCATATAGCCGACCCCACTTAGTGGGAAAAGGCTTTGTTGTTGTTGTTGTTGTTGTTGTTGCAAGATAAGCACACGCAAGCTGGATATGCTTTTCAATAAGCACGGAAAGACATCTGTTATCTGATTGTTTCCCAAGTTTAACACCTCTAACATTCTGCAATTGACTAGAGACTTTGGGAACTGACCACCGATCACATTGCCATTGAGGTCTAGACTTCGTAGACTACATCGCTCAGGAAAATTATCAGGAAGAGTGCCAGAAAGTTTGTTTCCCCTTAAATTAAGGGCTGGTTTGGTATTGATGTGCTTTGAAAAAGCTGCTATGAGAATAAGCAGCTGTGCTGTGAGAATAAGCGGCTGTGAAAAAAATCAGCAGAGTGTTTGGTAAACTTTTTTGTAAAAGTGTTTTTGAAAAAAAAAAGTCTGTTAGTGGGTCTTTTCATTAAATGAGCACTGTAACTCCGTGTGCTTTGAAAAAAAGCCAGTTTTCCAAAGCTACAAATAGCAGCTTCAGGTTTTTCCTTTGATTTCAGCTTATTCTCACAGCAGCTTCCAAAATAAGCCATTTTTTTTCAGTTTACCAAACACCTAAACCCCTCACAGCTTTTTTTCATTGGTGCTTTTTTTTTAAGCACCTCACTCCCAAACCACCTCTAAGTACTGCAAGATACCTGTTCCTTGTAGTGAAGCACTGGGGAATCATGCCACTTAACAAATTATTGGACAAATCAAGAACTTGAAGATATGTTGCACGACATACTGATGCTGGAATGATCCCGTGGAAGTGATTGCTTTCAAGAGAGAAGAACACAGTGTACATAAGGAAATCACCAATGTCAGCCGGAATGCTAGAGCTGAAATTATTTCTTGAGTAATCCAGATAAGTGGCCAATCGTGGAAACATTGGAATTGGTCCCTTAAGCTGGTTGGAATGAAGGTCAAACGCAGACAAATTAGAAGTGATATTGAGGAAAGGACCTTCTAGAGTTACCAGAGAGTTGCAAGAAAGATTAAGTTGACTAAGACTACTCAACTTCCAAATCCAGTTGGGTATTTCACCATGAATCTGGTTTGAGGAAAGGTCCAAAGTGCTTAATTTTGATTGACTTCTCAAGAAATCTGGAAATGTTCTCAACTTTCCAAAAGACAATTTCAATGTCGTAAGTTGAGGAAAGGAAGAATGAGAGGAATTAGTATCGGCATAAGTAATCAACAAGCTGTTGTATGACAGATCAAGACTCCAAAGATTTTTTAGTTGTTGAAGTTCATTAAGTGGAAAGGATCCACTGAAGTTGTTTGTGTAAGAACTATATCACAGATCATAGATATGCCAATAAGTTACCAATACTCCAACAATCGAACTGAATGACAAAACTATAAACTCGAATATAAAACCAATGAAAAACATACCTGCAGAACTTGAACTCGAAGAAGCCATAGCAGCTTCACAACCAAACAATCTTCTCCTCTTTAGCAAAACTAGAGAGCTCTCTGAATAATAGGTATTCAATACAAGATGAGTCGTGACTTTGCAAGAGCAGTGATTGAGGTTATATACAACATTAATCCAACTCATTCTCCTATTAGAATTAGTGTTGAACTCTATAACAAAACCTTTTCACACAATGAGTGTACAAGATCAATTAGTGTAGGATCCAAAACCTTTTCATAAAGGAACACTAAAAGCACTCATAATCCTACAAGAAATAGGATTCATACGAACACCTTATCAAGACTTTTCCATTCAAGAATTCATCCAATAGCTAATCCTCTAACATGCTTCATACTCACAATCTAACATTCTCCCACTTGAGTATGAAGACACAATGATTAACAAATGAATCATGGAAGTGATCACCAAGTCCAGAATAAAGCTTTCATCTTCGCATTCAAACTTGCCCATGCATATCAAAATATGGAACTCTCGGACTCTATCTGCACAATCTCAGACCTTATCCAAGAATCACCACATATCCAAATCTGCATTTTGCAATTATACGAAAACAATTACAGTAATGCCAATACTCATTACTCCCACTCATTTAAGCCAATTTCAACTCAATCATAGTCTCAATCTCAGCCTTAATGACAAGAACCATTCAAAACAGAACAGTACACTAAACAGTTCCAAAGTATACTTAGTGAAACCACAACTGATTTACTAGCAAACTCAAACTATTTTATTGCAATACTATCTTTCTGAAACAATTAATCACAAAACGGAAAAATTGAATACAGATAAAAACTAAAACAAAAGTCAGGCTGGAAAGCTAACTAAGAAAAGATACCAGCACATCATAACTAACCTATCTTGAGAAATCTTCAACTGCAGCAACATTAACAACACTGTAGCTTCAAAACAATCTCGAATTTGCTCACTCCCACTTATCAAAAGCTTCTAAAACTCCCATTCTAGTGACATGTGCTTTAAACACATTGTTTGGCAAGGCTTTAGTAAGAGGATTAGCAATCATCTTTTCAATAGACAAATATAGAATTTCGATCTCTCCTTTCTTCACCATTTCTCTGACTTTAAGAAACTTCACATCCATTAGTCTTGAAGCTTAAGTTCTCTTGTTGTTCTTGGGGAAAAACACAGCAGCATTATTGCCACAAAACATCTTTAAAGGCCTTTTAACCGAGTCAACAATTCTCATCTCAGCAACAAAATTTCTTAACCATACTGCCTGTTTCATTCCTTCAAAACACACAACGAATTTAGCCTCCATTGTAGAAGTAGACGTTATTGTTTGCTTAGCAATTTTCCAGGAGATAGCACCACCATTTACCATAAAGATGTTACCCCCAGTTGATTTCCTCTCATCTACATCCCAAGCAAGATCCGAATCTGTAAACCCAACCAATTCTAAAGTATCATTTCTGCCATAAACTAACTTTCTCTGCATGTATTTTAACACTTTCTTTGCAGCCACCAAATGAGATTATCCTGGATTTGATTGAAACCTTCCTAACATTCCAACAATGAATGCTAAGTCAGGCCTTGTACAAATGTTAGCATACATAATGCTTCCAACTAATGAGGCATAAGGCTTCAACTTCATCAATTTGACCTCATTCTCATTCTTGGGACATTGATTTCTAGAAAACTTGTCACCTTTATTAACTGGAACATCTGCCTTATTTCATTTCTCCTTATTAAATCTGTTCAATACCCTTTCAATGTATCCCTTTTGAGATAGCCCCAGAAGCTTTCTTTTTCTGTCTCTTGTTATTTCAATCCTTAGAACATAATGTGCTTCCCCTAAATCCTTCATTTCAAAATTGGTACTCAAAACAGTCTTGGTCTTTCGAAGTAATTGCATATCAGAACTTGCAAGCAGAATATCGTCAACGTACAAGACCAGAAAGATGAACTTTGATCCTTTGTGTTTTAAATTGCAATCATCCATCTTATTCTCAACAAAACCATGAGCAGTAACTACCTGATCAAATTTAAGAAACCACTACCTAGATGCCTGTTTAAGTCCATAAATCGACTTATTCAGTTTGCAAACCATAGTCTATTTCCCCCTTTCAACAAATCCAGGAGGTTGCACCATGTTTATGTCTTCCTCTAGATCACCATTCAAAAAGGCCGTTTTAACATCCATCTAGTGTAGCTCCAAATCAAAATGAGATGTCAAAGCCATGATGATCCTCATAGAATCTTTGGAAGAACAAGTGAAAACGTGTCATTGTAATCAATCCTTTCTCTCTGACTGAAGCCTTTGGCTACTAACCGAGCCTTGTATATCTCAATTCTCCCCGCAGCATCTCTTTTAGTTTTGTAAACCCATTTGCAACCGATTGGTTTAACATTTGAAGTAGAGTTCACAAGGGTCCAGACCTTATTCTTGGTCATGGAATCCAACTCTTCCTCCATTGCTTGCTTCCATAATGTAACTTGAGGACATTGAATTACTTGTTGATAGGTAACTGGATCATCTATGTCACCTATGTCGAATTCGGCCTCTTGGAGATAGACATAATCAGCTAGAATGGCTAGTTTCTTGACTCTACTTGACTTCCTCATTTTCAATTGATCACTCACATGACATGTATCTCCCTCAATATGAGAACTTTGAGCATTTAATGATATATCTCGTGTATAAAAAGCATCCTCATGTTCATTCTATATTTCAGCACCTATTTCATGTGTCATCTCCTCTTCAAAGTCATCTTCCTCTGTATGAGTTCTAGGCAACACTGAGATATGATTGTAGTCCATTGGAATTGAGCCATCGAGTTGTTCTGATTCTTCAAACTCGAAAGTATCATGAACCAAGTCTGATACACCTTGGTCTTCTAAGAAAACTGCATTATCAGTCTCTTGAATTCTTGTCTGTGCTTGAGGATAATAAAACTTAAAACCCTTCGATTTCTCTGAATATCCCACGAAGTAGCATGAACTGGTTCTAGAATCGAGCTTCCTTTCATTTGGGTTGTAAAACTTAGCTTCTGCTTTGCAACCCCATACATGCAAATTATTGAAACTCGATGTTCTGCCAGTCCATAGCTCAAAAGGTTTTTTTGGCACTTATTTGGTAGGCACTCGGTTCAACACATAGTTTGATGTCCTTAATGCTTCTCCCCACAGAAAACCAGGCAGCTTTGATCTTGAAATGAGACTTCTAACCATTCCCATCAAGGTTCGGTTTCTTCTCTCAACCACTCCATTTTGTTGGGGTGTCCCCGGAGTAGTATACTGAGCCACAATGCCTTGTAACTCAAGAAATTTTGCAAAAGGACCCTTCTGTTGCCCTTCTTCTGTGTGCCTACCAAAATATTCTCCTCCCCTAGCTAATCTAACAATCTTAATCTCAAGATTTAGTTGTTTTTCTACTTCACATTTAAAAACTTTAAAACACTCAAGAACTGCTGACTTTTCTTTTATTAGAAAAATGTAACCATGTCTGGAGTAGTCATCTATAAAACTCACAAAATATGAATTTCCACAAATGATTTTGACAGGAAAAGGTCCACAAACATCTGTGTGTATGATCTCAAGTAAATTTTTACTTCTATTTGCATCCAATTTCCTAACATTGGTGGTTTTACCTTTCATACAATCAATGCAATCAGATGCATCATTAAAATCTAATGGAGGTATGAAATTTAACTTTGACAATTGCATGATCCTATCTTTCGAAATGTGTCCTAGCCTTATATGCCACAACATATAGGAATTGTCAAAGTTATGCATTCTTTTGGCAATTGTGTTCAAAATACTTAATTCAATATTCAATACCGTGCACTACATTTTCCACAAATGATCATGTAAAATAGCCTTTCCTATTAGAGACCCTCTACTGAAAAATTTCATGCATTCTTTGTTACCTATGAAAGTGACACCTTCATTTACTAACCTAGATGCAGATATTAGGTTTCTCCTCATTGCAGGCACATATAACACATTTGAAAATTCTAACACAAAGCCAAAAGACAATTTGAGTTTTACCCTTCCTATGGACTCAACTATGACTCTGGTTCCTTCACCAACATAAACATTATATGCATTTGCTTGTTTTTTTTTTTCAAAACCATGCAGTGAATTCGTTATATGCACAGATGCACCAGTATCAAACCACCAAGAATTTGCAGGAATTTCAATGAGATTTGATTCCTCACAGACATATACATTAGTCATACCCTTAGCCCTCAGCCATTCCTTGAATATTTCACAATCCTTTCTATAATGACCCTTAGTTTTGCAATGGTGACACCTAACCTTTTCTATGTTTTTACTTTTGACCTTAAAATTGTTAGACTTATAGGAGTTGAAATTCTTAGTAGGCACATAAGATTTATCAAGGTTTTGGGTTTAGAAGTATTACCAAAATTTGCATTGAAGTCCTTCTTTCTAGATGTCTGCACAAAATTGACAGCCTCAACTTCTTTTCCTCTATCCATCTTCTGTCGATTTTCCTATTGAACATACTGAGATATAAGCTCATCCACTGACCATGACTTATCTTGAGTGTTGTAGAAGACTTTCAGTTGATTGAACTTCAAAGGAAGTGCTTGCAGGATCAAAAACACCAGCTATTTCTCACAAATATTCATATCTAATGAATTGAGTTTTTCAGCCGCATCTGTCATCTTCATAATATGATCTCTTATTGAACCACCCCCTTCAAACTTGTAAGTTGTGAGAAGAGTCATGTACTGAGCAATTTCAGCCTTCTGTGATTCCTTGAACTTATTCTCAATAGCTTTGAAATAGTCATTTGCAAGATCACACCTTTTGATGCCTCCACGCACGGTGTCCATCATCCCACTCTCCAAAATTGACAATGCCACTTTATTAGCTCTTATCCATCTTTCAAACTCTAACTTCTCAGCCTTTGAATTCTTATCTGTAAGAGGTGCAGGTTGTGGTGTATCCAGTGATATGTCATACTCATTCAGTGTCAAAATTAATTCAATTTCCCTTCACCA